AGTTCCCATGCGTAGCACGCTGAGCAGATTGATTCCTTTCGTCGGCAGCTTTTGCCTCTCATCCGAGCTTTTCATGAATACAATGAGTTAGAGATTCGTCATGTGATAAACATCGCACAGGTCTGCAAGAAAAAGCTCTTTTTTTTTCGCTATTAACAACCGAGAGGTGCAACGCGGTAGTCCTTACAGTCTGCTTTGTTTTTTGTTTTGGCATTTGTAAGTGGACACGAATTTTTCAAGCGTTGACGAGCTAAAAGATCAAAAGGATTGCAGAAGAGTCTTTTTCTTTAGACAAACCTTTATTCAACTTTATTGTCGATATTGCAAGTGCAGCTAAAATTTATTTGCGGCGCTCCAGAAAACTTCTAACGGCAGCTTTCCACGCAGGCACTGTAGATGGCACTCCAATCCCCCTTAGACACGCCCAGCCTTCCCCCTGATACGAGTAGTTTCGCCTCAATTCGTTGAAGCATTCTTCCTCGGCTTGAGAGCAGCTCTGGCTCGTTACGTGCCACACCCGGAATGGAACGTCATGAGGCCTGTCCACTGCCAAGCGCTGCACAAAAAGCTCCTGCAAACCAGCGTAGTCTTTCCTGAGCAGCTCCACAAACTTGGTGTTGCCAGACACGAAAACTTTGTTCAAGGAGCAGCCCTTCACGTCTAAACCAGTGGCTGCTTCTGCAAACAGCATAGCCGACGCTACACACTCAGCATCATCCTGCTCGCCATGGACCTTGAGCCATTCAGGAATAATCTGCAAGTAAAAGAATAATCAGCCGGTACAAACCTTCCGAGTAAACACTTGTAAACATCACCTTCTTTCCTCGGGTTGGCAACGCTGCCTTGTGTCGCCCAAACAATGTGATCACCCTCCAGCCCGGTAAGTTGTCGTAATTGTGGTGTACGAACAAAACACCCAGGCCGAGACGCTTTTCCACCCATGCGCCCAGCTCAGTTCCTCGGAGACGGGCGTCGTTGAACACCTGGTAGGCAGCCTTGTCACAGTAGAAGAGGTCACTCTTCATTCCATCCTCGTCTAGAAGAGTGTCCTGCTCACGAGCTGGAAAGAAGCCATATTTCTTGGCTTCCACCTCATTGAGTCCGATCGCCGGGTGGATCTTGCCTGGAATGGGGGCCCAGCCGGCAATGGCTTCGTCCTCCACCTCCTCTGTGCATGGACGAGTGGCTTTCTCCTCCATGCAAGGACGCTTGCTGCCGCTAGGGGAGCGTGACCTCTTGCTCCGGCTAGAGGCATCCATCCTGCTGCTAGGCTCCCTGCGATCCATTCCATCGTTGTCCCTGCTGCTAGGCTCCTTGGTCCTGGGCCTGGGATCCATTCCATCGTCACTCCTGCTGTTAGTCCTGCGCCTGGGACTGCTGCTATGCCTGTCGTCGTCCCTACGGCGCCTGCGGCTGGCCCTCCTGCGTGTGCTAGGATGGTCTGACTGCGAATAAGAGTGCTTGCCTGAGCGCCAGTCGTCAAAGTCCGGATCGACCCTGCTGCTGCGACGCAAACCATGCCCCATTCCCTCCGAGATTAGGCCTAGGGTATTTCAAGTCCCACTAAATCCCCTTTTCCTCAAGCGACAGAGTACCGATTTGTATGCAACAGAGTACCGATTTGACTCACGTAAGCTTTGGAACTTCCCGAAGATGTTGGCAAAATGCGGCGCTGCTGAAGGCAACCTTTGTAGCTAAACTTGTCTATGATGCGAAGGTGACTTGTCCTGTTGCATTAATTGCAGGTGCCGAAGCTTCAGCAAGCAGTTGTTGTCCCCTGCTCTGATAACACTGGATAAGTGCCGGCCCCGTATTTCATTCTTGGACTGGAACCCAGTCACTCTCACAGAAAGTTAAAAGCCAGAGGAGGTTCTGTATTAGAAAGTTTTACTAACTTATCATGTTTTTGCTTTTTTTTTTCTTGTAGGCTGCGGAGATATATCCGGCGACTGTGTATGGTCGCAAGTGTGAACGCGCCTCGAAACCTTTTGAGCAACCAGTAATTCGCATGTCTGTTGGTTGAAGTCGGGCTGGTAAATTCTAACTCTGCTCTTTCTTTCTCTGTCATTAACATTCTGTACTACCTCCTGGTCATAGATCTCTATTTCGGCGACTTCCCAAGCCTGCCTGTTATTTCGGATCTGTCTGACGACGGTAGCGACATATTTAGTATAGATGATGGACTTCTTAAAACAGCTGACAGTATGGACGCTGGCTGTATCCATGCAAAAGACAGAGAAGCTGCCCGTTCGGAGATTGCTGTGTGTGTGAGGGTTGCAGAGGTACATATCTGATTTTTTTATTTCTTTTGCGCTTAGTCGTTGTTTACGCAGGTGGCGCAAAAGACCAAACTCTCTGTTGGGGTTTTACTGTTAATGCGCGCGACAATATAGGTACTAAAATATTCCTCCCTTTGGGAAGGCTTCTAACGACTCTAACAATTGTTGTGCAGCTAATGCTTCTCTTTACTCTCGAATGCTAACGATCATTCTCATAGCCTGTATATCAGAAAGCAGAACATCGGCATTGCGGATTACGTCCTGGTACAGTGAGTGATATAGCTTTTCTGCTTTTAACAGAATTTCTCCAGGTTTTTGTGGGGGCATGTGTCTCGACACGTAATCCAGTTATGCATATTGGAGATCGTGTCAAATTATGCATGACCTGGCACACAAGATGTTTACTCTCGTCTTTCTATCATCTGGGAGTATTTTTCCTTTGCAGTGAGCTTAAGCGGCTGGCAGCATACACTGTCGAACGTTTCCATTTGTCACCTTGCTGGAGGCTTTTCTGTCATCGACACACCTTCAGGTAACTCCATTCCGTACTTGATCTAGTTTTTTCTTTTTTCTTTTCATCGTAGCTTAAAATGTTTTATGTAGATATTCTTTAGTTTGCGATCGATTTATTTGTTCCAGGCAATGTAGCAATTTTTGAGGAAGCATCTTTCAACCGATGGTGGCTGCGACAAACATATGTTCCTCTCAAAGACAGTCCCTGCAGACATTGATATGCAAATACAGTTGGAGGACAAGGTACAGACTTGGGCTGTACAATTCTTGTAATATTTTCTCGTGTTTTTGTGTTTTTCAGGATTGAATCTGATTTATACGTTGTTTGATGAGTGAGTGGTGGACAAGAAAGCTGGAATATAGTGGAACCGAGAATGGAAGGGCTCGAGGATACTTTGGTCTCGACTGTTGCCGAGGCGAAACCTCACTCGAACGTTTTATCAGGTATGTATGTTTTTTGTTTTCATGGACTTCTGGTTGAACTCACTTTTTTTCGCGACTTGGAAGATGCAAAATAAGTGCGGGCACTGTATTTCTTCCTTGGAGCCCAGGATCTTCACAAGAGTACCAGCTAAAAGGTTCAGTAGGAGAAAATTTTGCCAGCTGATTATGTTTTTGCTTATCTATCTTTTTCTTGTAGTGTAGTCATCGACAAATCCTAGTGTCGCAAGTGGAATACCTGGCTCAGTGGCCGTGAGCCTCACAACAGCAGCTGGTAAATTCTAAATATTCTTGTTCTTTTTTGTGTTTCAACTTGGCAATACAGGTAAAACCTTACTCCGGATGTGCTGTATTGTGCAATGGGACCTTAACGGCAACCTCAACTATCAGAAGGCCGGAAAGACTGGATCAAAGGCAACACTATCTCACGCATATTTTGCTCTCCTAGGCAAGACAAATCTGTTATCAGACTTCTAAAAAGTTTCCCTGCTGTCAATCAAGCCAGCACAATCAAGCCAGCCCTTGTGTGATGGCCCTACATAAAAGAATGTTTAGAGGACAATGCTGCATAGAAGAATGTTTAGGAAGACAGTGCTGTTATAGATGAACAAGAAGTGAAACAACAAGAATACACTTCTGGTCTCCATGTCCAAGTAAAAACTCCCTACTAGGGATGGCCGGGGGCAAACGTACTACCACGGCTATATCCACGATCCGTCTGGTCGACCACGATCTCTCGATCGAACAAAGCACACCCGTCCATCTCGCTGATAGCTGTCTGAGCCTCTCGCCGATCTCGATAGATAATGTATCCGAAGCCGAGCGTGGTGTGGGCATTCGAAGATCAGGATCTGGAAAACAAAAGAATAAATAGATTCAAAGTAAGAAAACACGGCAGCGCGCGCCCTGATGGCAAAGAAAAGAGTTTCGAGCTCATACCTGCAGATCCAAGATGTGCCCAAATCGCTCGAATGCTTCTCGCACCTTGGGCTCAACCTCCTCCTTCGTCCTCAGCATTGGCAGTCCTCCAACAAAGATACAAGACATTGGTAGCCGTGGTAGCGAAGTCTCCTCAGCTCTAGAACCCCTGGATTCCCAAGGCCAAGGCCATTCTGTTATACATCACAAAGCAAGACAAAATTTGAATTTGGAATATTCTCAATTTGTTCTAGGGCTTGAACGGAAATTTCTCGAATGGAGCTGCGCTGCTATAAGTCTTGACCGGGAATTTGGGTGTGCAAGGCGAACTGGAGGAAGAGCTCCCATGATCTTTGGTGACCGCCATGGGGAAGAAGCTCATTACCTTGCGAATCCGTCGTGACTTTTCTGAGGCTGTTTCGAAATTTTCGGCGAGGAAAGAGTTCCACACGAAGGGAAGAAAGAAATTTTATTGATTTTCTTTATAGGCGAGCTGATTGTTCACACGAAAAATTCAAGAAGCTCTCTTACCTTCACGGCCGATCGAGCAACATAAATCTGGATACCGCGGAGCTTTCTTGGAGGGAAGCTCTTGGGCATACCATAATTCCATTGTCTAGTCAAATTTCTAACCACCTGGAAGAACACAGATCCTCCTTTGATGGCTAGCAATTGATCCTTCGAAGGCTCTCGGCTATGGCCTCTTGGCCTTGGGCTCCTGTATTGTAAAAAGAAATAAGCGTTGTAAGTGAAAGGCAAGCGCTCCACGATCCGTTCAAGGCATACTGGAAAGCGCGCCCAATGCTCGCTAACAATGTAGGTCGCCAGTAGCCTAGTATGGATGCGTCGTCTGCTTTGGCGGTGGAGGAGGACGACGCCGATTCTGATCCAGCCGCGGCAATGCGGCCTGCGATGCTCTTGCTCTTCTGCCGCTGCCGAGCACGAGCACAGGGAGGATACGGATGAATCGGAGATTGACAAGGTATGCTCCATTCTCTTCCGTTGCGGTGGTTTATTCCCGGAATGGCGATTAGAGCTCAAGTTCCTTAATCTCGACTTGCGGCCTCAGCTCGTGGCGTCGGTTCTCCAGCGATCGACCGATGTGGAAATATTGTCTTGCTTCTTCCAGTGGGCAGGCACAGCGGCAAGAGAAATTCCAGCACGAGCCCGGCGTCTAAGGTCTTGGCTCTGGATCGAGATGGTGGGCAGCTGCTGAACTGGCTGCTAGTGCTCCTCAAGTGCCGGAACACTGGCTCCAGCCTTGTCGATTCTTTGCTTCGTTCCTACATGGGGGCTGGAAACGCAGGGCGGGCTGTGGAGGCTTTCACGAGGCTGGCCAGAGTTTTCAAGCCCAACGTCACGCTTTGCAACTCTTTCCTTGGATTGCTGCTCGAGGCCGACGAGTATGAGCTCGCAAGCCAAGTTCTACACTTCATGACGCTCCACGGCTGCTACCCAGAAGATGGCACCTTCCGGCCCCTCATGGCTGCTGCAGCTCCCACCAAGGCCTTTGAGCTCTTCCAGAGCGCTATAGAGATTGGGAGAGTTCCTTCCTTTGGCCTCAATCGCCCGCTGCTCGAGTTCGTGTGTCGGGCTGCCACCGCCGACGAGCGCATATCATCACCGGCGGTAGCTTCTGCTCGGACCTGGTGACTTGCAACTCCATCCTCGGTCCCTTTCGCGTGGCCGGCAAATGCGATGAGGCTTACGAGTTCTTCCAGACCGCGAGAGCCAACAGATGCAATCCCGACGACATCAGCTACCGGATTCTCGTGCTGGCTCATTGTTGAGAGGGACGCATGGAGCGAGCTCTGGAGCTCTTCAAGGCGATGCAGAGCATCGCAACTCTGGATGTCAAGACGTGGTGGACTCGCTAAGGCCGGTCTCGTGGACGACGCGGCGGAGCTCGTCCATGGCATGATGGACAAGGGCCCTTACCCCGACACTGTGACGTGCAACACGGCCTGTTCAACGTGATCAAGGTGGAGCACGCCATGAAGCTCTACGAGAAGATGAGCCGGAGCTTCTTCAAGGCTGACGCTTTCACGTAGAACGTTCTTCTCCACGGGCTTTGCAAGGCCGGCAGGATCCAAGAGGCTTGCCAGAAGCTCTCGGTGGCACTGCGAGACCGAGAAGCCCCTGTGCGGCACGAGCTTCTCATAGGTGGCCTGTGCAAGGCTGGAAAGTACGACCACGCTATGGCCGTGTTTCGAGAGATGAAAGTGCCCAGCTCCATGTCCTACAACATTGTCATCGCTGCTCCAAGCAGCGATGACAAAACGAAGGAGCAATGGAGCTGTTTCGAGAGATGAAAGCCAAGGGCCGCGTCCCGAACATCTTCACTTTCAACACCGTGATCCAGTCCCTGTCTAAAGCTGGGATGTTCAAGGAAGCTCTGGACCTTGTCGACGAGATGGTGTGTCTCCAAACGAGCTAACTTTCGGGCTTATCGTGGACGGTTTGTGCAAAGCCAAGCGGACTGTCGACGCCGAGAACGTGCTCGCGGTCATGGACAAGGTCGGGTGTGTCCCGGACGTTGTGCTGCACTGATAAGCGGCCACTTGAAGGAGGGGATGCATCGAGGCTGTTCGAGAAGATGATGAGCGGAAGCCAAACTTGAAAACTTTCAACATCATGATCCACGGCTTGTGCAAGGAAACAAAGTTGGTGAGGCGGACGCGGTGGTGAGGCGTATCGAGGACGAATGTGGCGTTGCTCCGGACGAGTTCACTTTCAACACGATCATCGATGGCCCGGTCCGGGGAGGGCCGGCCGATACAATCGAGTATCCGGCGGGTGGCGCACCGAGCGGGGACAGCAAGAGACCCTTGTCCCTGTCGGTGGTGAGTGGTCTGCAAAGCTGGAGAGGTGGTAGCCAAGCTCGGAAGGTTGGAAGCGAGCAAGCAGCTCTTCCAAGAGACGAGCCGGCATGGTTGCCACCCCGACGCGGTCACCTTTACGATCCTCATCTCCGAAGCAACAGTGGTCACACGAAGCTCTCGGCCTCGTCAAGCAGATGATCGAAAGCAAGGGGTCGACGCTGCCTTTCAACATGGTCCTCAATGCCTTGGCCAAGTCTGGAGACATGGAAGCCGCGGGAGATGTTTATCGGAGCATGAAGGTGGAAGGGATTGAATGCGGGTGACTTACAACACGCTGCTCGACGGCTACTTGGGCGAGCACGATCGGCCGACGGCTATCGAGTTTTCGGTGAGCTCCTCCACAGCGGGTGCTCCAGACACTCTCGTTCAACGCGCTGCTGGGATGCTTGTGCTGCGACGGGCGATCGGAGGAGGGGGTGGCAAAGTTTTAGGGGGAGATGCGAGAGAGGCGCGAGTGCTGGCCCGACGCTGTGACTTACGCTCTTCTCGTCCGCCACTGCTGCAAGCAAGGGGAGATCGAGCAAGCGTGTCGAATCGTGTCCATCGCGGCTTGTTCCCAGTGCTGCCATCGCCAGCATGCTTGCGATCCAAACTGGTAGCGGTGATGGTCCCCGCCATCGCCAGCATGCATGAGAGCTCGATCCAAACTGGTAGCGGTGATGGTCCCCGCCATCGTCAGTGGCTGCAAAGCTTTCTCGTACGGGCGGATAGTTCCTTCAAAGTTTTCCGTTCGCTCTATATCTCCAGCCTTTCTCCTTCCCGACCAAGCTTCAGGCTCCAGGAGAGGTTGCCGGCCTTACACCTTTCGCTTCGAGTACGACAGGTTCCTCGAGTAACAGGGGCGGGTTCTTGAGAGCTGGCGTCAGTTTTGCTCGACCTTTGCAAGGCTTACGGCTTACAACTGCGTCAAGAGGTATGGAGGCTATGAGAAGGTTATCGTGCAGCGGAAGTGGGGGAAAGAAGCCGGACGTAAGTGCCTCCTTTCCTACTGCCGCTCCTGCGAACCTGTGCCACCTATACGAGAAACATCTGCTGGAATATGAGCGCCATCATGCAGAAGGCTTCGGGAAGCAGGCAACTAACAACGTCAGGAATGGTGAAGTACTGGACGTGAAGATTCGGAGGAAGAGATCTCTGGTGAAGATGAAGTCAGTGTGTCGGTGGAGCCGCGAAACGAACTAAATCGGACGATGAAGCTCCATGCAGCAAAGGCTTGGGGACCAGTCCTGTGAGCAATGCCGCAGCGGAGCACATGAGCAGCTTATGATCACCTGTGACCGGGCGTGGCATATGTATTGCCTGTCCCCTCCTCTGTCGAAAATGCTCTCTGGGAGGTGGTACTGCCTCGACGTTTTCTCAAGGCAACTGGCACATGCTGGACTCTTTCCGACGTCTACAGGACCTATTGAAGTGCTATATGGAAGCGATCTCGATACGTCTCTGTGTATGGAAGTGAATTTCCCCGTCCGTCGGATGCAGTTCCAAAGTGGGCTAAGCAGGATATGCTCTTCTCCTCGTTTTGCTGGCATTACGAAGATCATTGCTTCTACTCTGTGAATTATCTTCACTGGTATGCTACTTGTTTCGTGTGCTTTCAATACTGATTTCTTTCCTGCAGATGCTGGTATAGTGTGCCTGGCAGTGCTTACGACGCATTTGAAGAGGTAGAATGTTTCTCTTTTAGCTGGCAGTGTAAAACTTCTTTCTTTCAGACAGGCTATGCGATCTACATTCCCAGATTTATTTCATGCACAGCCGGACTTGCCCTTTCAACTGGTTACGATGCTTAATCCAGCTGTGTTGCGGGCTAAAGGTGTGCCTGTCTGCACAACTTTGCAGGTAAGTTTGTGTTGGCAGTGCTTTATCTTTATATTCATGTTTGTTTTTAGGAGTCTGGAAACTTTGTGATCACATTTCCACGGTCTTATCACGGAGGATTTAACCACGGTGAGACTGTTATTGCTAGCAGTGAATGTGTAGGAACTAACTTTCCTGTTCATTACGGGATTCAATTGCGCAGAAGCTTTCACCGTTGCAAGCAAAAGCTTTGAACCGAGACATTTTGCTTCTGACTTCTGATGCCGAGAGGTTATCATAATCCTTGTTTCTTTTTCCTTTCGAGGCTTACTTGTGCTCGCAGAAAAGATTCCACCTCTGGGGTCATGGCAGCCAGAGTCTCGGGTTGGATCACCATCACGTCTGCGGCAATGGTGTGGTCTCTGGTACATTCATTGTCTACTTCTGTGGATCTCCACCAGCTGATTGTTCACACGAAAAATTCAAGAAGCTCCCTTACCTTCAAGGCCGATCGAGCAACATAACTCAGCGGGAGCGCCTCTAATCTGGGGCATCCAAAGCCATAGTGACGAGGCAGATTCAACCAAGCTGGTGGTAAGATCTCTCTTTTATTTTTCCTTTAGTCAGTGGCTTTGCTTGTAGGCTGTGGGTCTGAGGAGAAGCATAATTACGCTGAGCGTCATGCTGCTCCAGGCTTACCGGACAGGGTCATACTGCTCGAAAGTCGCGCCGGCACTGAATGATCCACTGTTTGGCAGTCGAGAGCGGCCTCGTCTCGCAAGTTATGGTCTTCAACGCTCTCATCAACTAGCCCAGGCCTCTCCAGGCACAGTCGCAAAACTTCTCCGGAGAACACGCAGGTTCTTGGACGATGCCAGGCTGCTACACAAGCTGTGTGCAACGACGCTCGAAGAACGGATCTCCAGACGGGGTGTTTGATTGATGATTTGAAATTAAAAGACAGCATCTCATTCGTCTGAGAGCAAAGTTTTCTCTTAGCAATGAAAAAACCTCATCATGCCTCTGCTCGATCGTTCTACTCGTCTAAGGCTGCATGGCGAGGTCCGGAGAGGCATAAAAAGGAAATTTATAGCTATAATCACATGATAATTCTTCTTTTTGACATATTTATTTATTTTATTATAGTACTGTGTTTCATAAAATGGAAAAAGAACAACAAATAAATTATAGCTAAAAAATGTAATAAAACAGTAGAAAAACTTCTGTTTGCTTTAGAAAACAAGGTGTAAAGAATATACTTAAAATATCCAAGCATGTTGTGGCTTCCTCTTGTTAATCTCTTCTCTAATTCATTTGTAATCAAATTTAATGCTAATTTTCTTACTTCACTAATTAAGAACGAGATGGAATAAAGAATAATTTGGTTTCTTTAATGTTTTATATTTTCTCTCTATATATATAAACTGCTTCATAGTCTATGTTTTTGTTTTTGTGCAATTAATAATTATTATCCATATATGATTGTTATTTCATATTTCATATTTTATTTATTGGATATATCAAATTCTTTACATAAGTTTTCTTAACTCTTCACTCTTCACTTATTGAAATCACCTATTATTATTGTTAGAATATTTCATATTATATTTGTAAATAAGAATAGGTTCTTGAAGTTAAAGAAGAACTTGGTACTCAGATATAATAAGGGAAAGCTATTTAAATTACTAACTTTTACATGGTAATTTATAGTAGGATTTGAGTAATTGAATTTGAATATTCTATTTCTTCCAACAGGAAATAAACTATTTAATGGTGTTTTTATGGGAAATAGTTGTTTATAAGGTTTGTAATTGTAGTCTAGGATTCAGAACTTTAAAAGAAATATATTATTTTTCTATTACCTTAAAAATGTATTTAATATTTTTCTTCTTAGTGTTACCTTGTCTTTCATTTTGATGAATTATATTTTTTATAATTAATTTTTTTGCTCAATTAATGTTAAAGCTCATGATTCTCAGTATCAAATCTTTTCTGGCTTACATTTGTCTATATTTATTCACAGAACTTTATTATATAGTTGTGTTTAGTAAATCTGTAATAATTTTATGAGAAAATAAAATAATTACTATTTAAAATAAAAAATTATATATACAACACTTAAAAAACAAACACGCAAAGTCAGCTCTACAGTGGCTACGTCACTTAAAAACAAAAGCACGTCAGGGTGCATAATTGTTTCAAAAACTTAAAGCCTTGAAACCTGTTTTTATTTTTTTAATAAAAGCAATCGATGCTTGTTTGCATGTAGTTCATTTGTTGAAATCGTTTGAGTTCTTACTATCTCTCAAATTGTTTACTTGTTCGTCTTCTACATTTCTATCCGTTGGTTGTTAGGGAACAATGTCTTTGGCCTTGTAACAACCATCTCAACAGCACATTACACTCAGTAAACTATGATTTTGATGTTGTTTATCGCCTAGGGAGTTCTATGGCTAATGCTGATGCCTTTTCTCGAGCTCCTTTTCCTTTTCCACTCTCTTCTCATGTTTCTGACGAGTTTGTTATTTTAGCATCTATGGATTTTCTAGATGAGGATTCTGTGCCGCTAGTGGTTGCTGTACTTGACATTCAATGTTCATAAGGCACAGAGCAAGATTTACCTTCTCTTTAAAAAATTTGAGCTGTGGATTCGAAGGCTTCGAGATGGGTTTGAGAATCCTATATCACTTGCTAATGACTTGCCTTTCCGGCATTTACATTCTCAATATTGCCTTAAAGACAACCTTTTTTATTTTGTGAGGACGGATCCTAATAGTTATTTACAGTTAGTGGTGCCTTCTGTCTTTATTCCGCGGTTTTTCCATACCTATCATAATTCTCCTATTCTATGTGGGCATATAAGACCTTTTTCACAATCAACTGTTGGGAATGAGTATGTTATTATTGCTTCTGACTATTTGACTCGTTAAGTGGAAGTTGCTACTCTTGCTAACGCCTTTGCAACTACTATTGAATACTTCCTCCTCAATCGAGTGGTGTTTCAGCATTCTTGTCCAGAATAGATTCTTTTGGATAATGGTCCTATATTTATAGCTGAGGCATTTCATGTTTTGATGTCTCGGTTGGGGATACGCCACATTTTCACAAGTGTTTATCATCCACAATCAGAAAGTTTGGTGGAACGGCTCGTTCTCACGTTCAAAAGGATGATCATGAAGTATGTGAACTTTCAGCATTCTGATTGGGATGGTTATTTGCCATCTCTTCGGTATGCATATGTCACAAAAGTGTAGAGTTCTGTTAGTGTTTCATCATATAAACTCTTATATGGTTATGATCCAATATTACTAAAGGAGTTAGGTTTACCTTTGCGATTGCCACAAATTGCCGATGCTAGGTCGTGGGATTTGTATTTGACAAGCATTCTTCCACTTGTCCGAGTAGAGTCTGCCGAACACTTAGGTCGTGTACAAGTAGGACAACAATGACACTACAACTTCCATCATCGTTCACTTGTGGAGTACAAAGTGGATGACTTTGTGTTAGTCTGTTTTCCCCATTTTACGGTATGTGGTTTGTCTAAGGGGTTCCTTGTTCAATAGAAAGGACTATATCGAGCGTTGCGGCAAGTTGGACACAAGTTTATAAGGTTCAACATGATGTCAAACAAATTAATCCTCTAGAGATTGTGCATATGCAACAGTTAAAATGATTATACAAAGGGATCAAGAGCAGTTAATACCACCTACAGATTTATCAATGCCTCCTTTTGATATTCTTCCAGATCTCGGCCCATTTACAAAAGAACTCTAATGGTTTTTCATTATTTTGAGAGGAGGGAATGATGTGAGGGCTAAGTGTACAGTTACAATGCCATATACTAATATTAGTGTAGTGGGATTTGACATCAGATTGATTTAAATCTGGACCATTCACTCTTATATATAAGTTTAGTTTAGGTTAATTGATATTCACATTTTCTGTATTCCCTTTCCATATTCCATGCAGTCATAGTTTATATTTTTGTTTAAAAGTTCCTTGATAAATAAAATATAATCTTATATAACACTTTTTAGTTATAATTCATTTTATATAAAAACATTATATACATATTCTGAATTTCAAACCAACAAAACCTGGTTAACCAAGAGTATAAACATTGAGAAAGGAGATGGCTTTACTTACACGAAAACAATGATTTACAAAAATCCATGCATTTGAGAGTTTTTGGCAATAGAAAACACCAGGATGAACAAGGCTAGGGTTTTTTGCAAGTGATGGAGGACGAAGCTGATGGGTATAAGCGATTCGCAGCACCAGTGTCATTTTTATGTTTTAGTCTAACCAAGCACTTGAAAAATGCAGGAGCTGCAGCGCATCGAAGCTCAAAGCGCTGTTTGAGACCGAGCAGCAGAAGCTTCAGGTAAAGAATATTTTTTTTTGCTCTTAAGTTACGAAAAACAGGTTTTTTCTGTTTTTGTTCTTCGTGTCAGGTTGGCAATCCAAGTTTTCAATATCAGCCTCCAAAGCTGCAGCCCCGTCTGTCGTTTGCACCATCGTTTTCTAGCCAGGTCTTTGATTCTTTTCTGGGAACTTTGAGCTACTGATTTGTGCTTGTGTTTCTTTTCCAGGTCCTCTTCTCCACAGAACTTTCCAACGTTGTTTTCATGCTTCCATCAGGTGAGAATCATGTCGAATTTTTCTAGCTCTTCTTGTTCCATGCAGTGACTGATTGCGTCCAAATAGGTCGTCGACAAGAAAATGTTGGCGATGCTACCATTCAAATCATAAAAACAGAGACGCACGACCAACAGGTTTTAGAACCACACTCTAAATCCTCTGGCCATCTCTTTTTCATTTTACCTTTGCAGGACTCACGCATTGTCGTATCCAACGCTGCTAAGGTTGTCGTTGCGGAGGTGTCTTTCACGGGAATTATAAACATAGTGGTTTGTAGACAGCCCCTTTCCTCGTGTTCGTTCTTTTTCCATGAGATTTTCCATTCGTTTCTTCCACTGCAGCCCGACGCAAATTGCCGGATTGCCATTGAGACCAGCCAACATATTGTGGAAGCGACATTTCGCAGGTCGGCCTCTTTCTCTATTTCTTCTCAGTAGAAGCCATGCGACAACATGATAATCTGTAACTTAGCTTTTGTACTCCAGCACAGATACATGGATGGAGTTTGCTAAGGTTTTTGTTTACGCTCGCTATCACGTACAACACTCTGTGGCACAAGTCTTCCAGGTATCGCTTTCACTTTCAATCGAAGTCTGTATGATTGATGGATTTTGTTTCAGGATGTGGTATGTCCAAAAGACAATTTCAGGGAGATCGAAGATGGCGATGTGGTGAGTATCATTATTTTTTCCTCTTTTATACTTTGCTCCAGCTGCTTGAATTCTTGTGATCTAGGTGCAAGTGCTTTGTAAAGTGTTCCTTGCAAAACCGTGGAATGAGTGTTCCACTGGGCTAGTTTTTTATGGAGACACTCCAGGTTTGCTTTGAAAAAATCTCGTGTGTAATCTGGGATTTTTGTGCCAGAGAAAACTATCAAACTTGAGATCGGTTCGAAAAACTTCACAGGTAAGAATTGATTGTTTCTTCGTCAATTTTTCCATGGAAAGTTTCTTTGTCCAGGACTGGAAGATGGAATCCGAGGAATGCTAAAAGGAGGGAGAAGGCTTCTGATGTTCAAGGATCATGACGACGAGGTTCACTTTGATTGAGCTCATCGAACTTCGATTGGTTTTTCTTATCTCGTTTCATTCAGGACTCGCTGGCGGCTTTGTACGATATAACGGTAGCTCGTGTCCGCAAGAGGAAAACCTTGAAGCAGCCGAGTGAAATGGAAAGCTCGAAAGAAATGGAAATAATTCCAGAACTTCCTGCCAATGACATACAACAGAGCTTTGGAGATGAGGGGAGCGAAAGGAAAGTGGAAACTGTGACTGACCGTCTGGCTCGCATGACTCGCGCTGGAGCAGCAGTAAATCTCCATCTTTTTTCGGCTCCAGCTCCAAAACAAGGGAACGAAACTCCGAAACTTGATTCCGACAAGTTGGCTCCAAATCGTACTGGGGACACTGGCGATGAATCACGAGTTTTTGTTCAGTCCGGTCCAATACTGACTTGCGAGCACCTCGAGCTCTTACGGGAAATCAAGCATTCACAGGTACGTAATTGGAATCAAACTTGAGCGAGCTTACCATTTTCTTCTTCTTGTATTGTACGTAGGCAAACATGTCCGAGTCATTCGCGTCATTTTCTTCGAGACTCGACCAGCTTGTAAACTCGAAATCACGCGACTTTGAGCGGCGAGTGATTCCGGAGACGGAGCTCGTGGACGAGGAAAGCAACTCAGAAGAAGACAATCTGGTGGAGTCGATTGCGAGAATGATCGCCGAAAACAGAGAGCTCAAAAGACGCTTGGAGTCGTCCAAAGGTAGTCTAGTCTTTCACCTTGCTTCTCTCTTGTTCTTGAACAGTGTCGATGTAGGACCACGAAAGATCAAACAGCCAAGTCGTGAATCCAACGGAGACTCCAGGGACTGGAAGACCAAGTTGAGCAGATCCTACACCGGATTTCCCTGTAAGAAATCTCTTCTACTCCACATCCAAAAACTCTTTTTTCTTCCAGAGACATGGAAATCGAAATGACCAACAGCCATC